TTTCAATTGTATCCAATTAGGCAGGCCCTTGCACTACATAGCAAAAAAAGAAGTAGTAGTTACCATAAACCAACTACCAAAATAGGTAATAAACACCCAAGCAATGTTGCTTATATGTAAAATCACATTTTTATTATTCCATTTTGGGAGAAAAGGTAATATCCGTAGATAGTGACATAAAACAATCACTGAATACTCATTAAAAACAAGCAATCCGGACTGCACATTAGGTATTTCTAGTGGTATTCACTTTGACTGGTTTGAGATATACAGCAGCATTTTAGCAAAATTAGTCAAAATTCAGCCGTTTATCACAAGGCTTTATGTTATACACATTTATATCCTGCATATACAATGATAGCAGTGAGACACAAAAATATCTAAGTATATAGCTATATATGCATGATCATGATCATAGAATGTGTAAGAACTGCAAAAAAAATGCAATAAGAAAAAAGAAATGAGTGTCCATTGGTAAAATGCAGGAAGGAATTGAAGCATGGTTGGAGGCAGAGGTATATAGGGCTGTTTTTTGTTCGCCTGTGTCTCACCTTTCTGTAGGCAGCTGCACAACTTTATTGTTCAAGAACTCCTAATGTTTAGGTATCCCAAATGGACTCAAAATTTTACGATAAGTACAACCATTTTATTTTACATCCTATGTATTAATTCTGTTGCACTAAAGTTATGTATTATAAACTGAAAACCAATAATTAAATCTAAATAAGTAAAAATAGAAAATGTATGCATTCAGAGTAAGAAGGGAGCTAAGTCTTTATTCTACTTACAATTGAGTTCAGTGCAGCTCAGCTGAAGGCTCAGTGCTGCAGATTACATTTGGACAGCAGCTCAAGCAATGTAATCAGTAGAGCTCCATTGTCAGTATGACAGCTGCCCTGCTTTGTACCAGGAAGGCTGATAGCAATAGCTGATAAACAGAGCACAGTGGAACAGCCATTAACCTCCCTAGTGGTCTGATTATGTTCATATTTCTGTGCTCAAAGCGGTACATTTTTTTGCATGGAAATATGTATTTTTTTTATTGTAGGCCTGTAATTTTTAGGAATAACTCACTGAAATCTGTCTGAACAAGAGTCTATTAAACATCCCGGGTAGGATAAAACTTGAAACACGAAATCATAAATTATAATTTAATAAATAATAATTTAAAAAAATAATATAATAATAAAAAATATAATTCAATAATATATACAAAGAAAAAACACTGAAATTTGAAATATAATGCCAAGTTCGCACATCACTGAGCAAAGTCGCAAAATCGTATTCAGTGTCTGATGACGAATTTCGCCACGAATCATTATCTCTCAATTCTGCAAGTGGTTTTGATTTACTATCGCTGTTCTCTAGCTGGTCTAAAACCGCTTTTGACCTAAAGGGACGCTTTTTGGACGCCATGGACTTTTCTAACTTTCCAGGCAGAAAGAACAGTCAAAATGCAGGCAGGGCACAGGACAAAGCACTAGGGACAAAATGTATGTGAAATGGTTTGATACAGTAATGTTTTACTATGTGATTTTAGTGATTTTAGTGAATGTCACTTTTTGTCATTTTCAAATTTTCCGCCATTCCATCCCCCGTACGTCCCAACACTCGCAGGGGACGGAACCCAGATGACAGATGCCGGCATCCACCGGATTACATTGCCGGGGACACTGCAGGAGGGACATCGCGGGAGCGTATGACAAGGTAAGTGATCAAGGGATCCCGGAGCAGCGAGGCATGGTAAGCCCAAGTGTAGCTCGGGGTTACCACTTGTGGTGCTGAAACTTTACCCTGAGCTACACTCGGGAATACCGCCAGGGAGGTTAAAGTGACAGCGGAGTTCTCTGTTTACACTGAATAAACTGCAGAGCTAGCCTGATCTTTATGCATTTGTAAATGAAAGCTGCTATTGCAGCCTTCATTCGTGAATTACTGTTATGTGTAAATTAAAAAAAATAATAATAAAGTTTTGGCCCCTTGTTATCACCTTTTCTCATTCTGTCTCTTATCTATTATTTGTTATAGTTCACAGGTAAATTTTTTACATTTGTATTTTGTGTATTATTGTTTCACTTTATGTAGTCTCATTTCCTGGCTTGAGAAACTCCAGCATCCTCTAGCCCAAGGGTGTCAAACTGGCGGCCCTCCAGCTGTTGCCAAACTACAAGTCCCACCATTCCTCTGCCTTTGAGCTTCATGCTTATAACTGTCAATCTTGCAATGCCTCATGGGACTTGTAGTTTGGCAACAGCTGGAGGGCCGCCAGTTTGACACCCGTGGGGGAGTCTAGCCCTTTCCTTCTTAATCTCACTGTTGCTGGCCCACCCCTTTTATTTACTGGAATTCAGTTCTTTCATTCCTGGAGGTTCAGCACTATGGGGGGTTATTTACTAAAAATGCATGGTGCAAAATCTGGTGCAGCTCTGCATTGAAACAAATCACCTTCCAGGTTTTATTGTCAAAGCTTAATTGAACAAACTGAAGATGGAAACTGATTGGGTACCATGCACAACTGTGCCAGATTCAGAGTGCTCTAGTGTTAGTAAATCTACTTCTAATGTGTGGGCATTGCCTATGGCAGTCTGCATGGAAATACAGTCAAACTAAGAACATCCAATCCTTCAGAATGACATCCACTTATGCATTTGGATATTTGCAGAACTCCAGTCCACTGCTTGCATCAGGGCTGAGGGCCCTTGAAAGATTTACTGAGGCTTGGTGCTGTGATGTTTTCTGGAAGCTATGTACAGCACCTTGCCAGCCCCTCCCCACTACCATGATCTGCCTGCATTGCATAGAAAAGCACACAAAACCAGTGATGACATCCTAAAGTCTAAAAAAAGGTATGCATTGAAAATAACTGTGTTATTTAAAAATGTTATATGCATGTAGGGGGCAAGGATTAGCGACTTCTCCATGTAATGTAGCCACGATAAACACTGGCTGCCATGAAAAAAAAACCCCGCCATAAATATATATATTTATATATATATATACATACATATATATATATATATATGTTTTATATATATTTACACACACAAACAGGGATTTTTACAGCTGGACTGGAACATGGTGGAACTCTGTTCCACCACCTCTGGCCTCTGGTTCCCTACACAGATCTGATCTCCTGAGCAGCTCCCACTGAGTGCAAGCTGGGGACAGGGGAGATGCAGGTACCCGGGTTGCAGTGTGGATGCCGACACCCCCACTAGATGTGCACTGCAACTAAAAGAGGTGGAGCCACTTATAGTGTGCGAGGAGGTACTAGAGAAGAAGGGTGAAAATGATATGTGTATATATATATATATATATATATATATATATATATATATATATTCATATACCTGCTGTTAAATGTCTTAATATGTACTCACAGCTGTGCACCCACTCTGCTGAGACCTAAAAAGACTAGGAAATCACAGGATACAGTTTTCATCTCATTGATCTAAACTCTTTATTCTCAGTCTTTTTAACTGATGCTTACTCTGTCTCTATAGACCTTACAAAGGGGAATTCTCCATTTTCTTTACAGACTGCAATTCTGTCAAAACATATCCCGTACTAACTGATCGCATAAAAGCTCAGTCATCTCTGGGTACATTGAACTCGTATTCATAACACTCTTTGAATTGTGACAATTTCTTTTAAATTGACAGCAGCACAGGACACATTAATTCATGCAAAAGTAGAGCTGGTGGTTTACTGAAGGTAAGCATTTTCATTTTTATCAACTTCAAATATTTCAGAATCCAATTCTGGATAGATCTTTTAAAGCAGGCTTGAGATGTGTCTACTCTTCACTTCCACACCACATAAAGGGCATGGAGCTTGCTAGGAGGAGTATGTTGAAATATGCCACACTTCTAGGCTGGTAGGGTATTAAACTACTACATCACAAGAAGCTAGTAAAACCCCCAGAGGACAAAAGAGACCCCATAGTATGCTAACCCTACTTTAATTGTTACTTCAACTTCCTGGTCTAAAAACACCTCCTTGCTCTTACTCTCTTTACTGCAAAATCAGAGCCACCTTGTTGTGTATCCCAGCAAAGGATATCAAAAGCATAAACCCTAAAGAAAAACAAATCATTGGAAGGGCTCTTACATGCTTGCAAAGTAGCAATACCCCCACAGGAGCCTCTTGGTAACTTGGGTTTTGTGTTCTGTGCCTTGATGCCAGGAGTAACCTTAGACACTCTGACACACCTGGTTGAATGGAAGTCACTGAAAACATTTATAACACAAGTATAGATACCTTTAACTCAGTTGGAAATTAGCACCAGGGAAATAGACACAAGACTATTTAGTGGTAAATGAACTCCATGTATTGCTACAGGTTAAAGTAAATGGTGTTTTGAGCATAAATGAACATACAGAAGGTAGTTTCAGATATAATCCACTAGACAGTATAATCACTATGCCAAGGTAATTTAGAATAGATTTCTGTACCACTAAACCGGGATTAACTCACGAATCAGCAAATTCAGCAATAAACAGTTCATGTATTGTAAGCAGTAACTGCAATGTGAATAATAATACTATAATTAGCCTAGAGTGCACTATAGGAGAATGGCTAGGATATGGTGCAATGTCCCCTGAGAGGTACCTGCTAGCATAAGCAATAGGTGAAGGTCTCTGTGTAGCAGCTGTAAACGTACAGTCTTTGGCACTAACTCTTCAGCTGGTTAGAGTTGGGGCCTAGTTGTACTGTGATGCACATGAGAATAGTCTCAGTCAAGCCTGCAGGCAGCAGTAAGGCTACTAGATAGTTATATGGTCAGTTCCTAAAGAGCTCAGTCTCTCTAGGAGAAGAGAACAGGTGCAGACAGTGTTTCATTCTGTACTCTTAGCCAAGCATGTTTCTACGCAAATATATGTGCTGCATGACATGTCAAGGCATTAGGCAGTTCTATGCTAGTCTATGAAAAAATAAGACATACAGTGTGTGTGTGTGTATATATATATATATATATATATATATATATATATATACAGGGGAGGACTGACAACTCATGGGGCCCCTGGGCAATAGGTGATCATGAGGCCCCTGTGTCCTTGCCCAAACTCAAAAAAGCCTATGAGAAAAGGTACCCGGGGCATCTCATGGGGCCCCCTACTGACCCTGGGCCCTCGGGCAGTGCCCGAGTTTCCAAATGGTCAGTCCACCCTGTGTGTATATATATATATATATATATATATATATCCATGAATATATTGAGAAAAAATATTTGTGGTGACTCGTTAAGGCAAAAAAAAAGCACCCTGGGACTAGACTGCCTATAGCAAATTATCTAATTAGTGTTCTGCAAACTGTTGGTGCTATATACAGTAAGTCCTGCATAATGATTATAATAATTAACTGAATGTCACAGTGCCTTGAAAAAGTATTTATACCCTTGAAATTTTCCACATTTTGTCATGTTACAACCAAAACCGTAAATGTATTTTATTGGGATTTTATGTGATAGACCAACACAAAGTGGCGCGTAATTGTGAAGTGGAAGGAAAATTATAAATGGTTTTCAAATTTTTTTGTAAATGAATATCTGAAAAGTGTGGCAAGCATTTGTATTCAGCCCCCCTAAATACATGACGTTTTTGGTTGTAACATGACAATGTCACGGGGTATGAATGCTTTTTTCAAGGCACTGTACGACAGCTTACAAGTGCAGGTTGAACTCAATCCCTGGGATTCATAAAAACTGGTGCAGACAGACTTTGCAAAAGTGTCTCATGTGCATTCTAAACATGGCGCAGCGTGCCAATTCATGAATCTGTCTAGTACTTGAATTTGGCGCATGCTGTGTCACTTTTAGACTGCACACAAGACACTTTTGTATAATCTGTCTGTGCCAAGGCCTCTCTCTGTATGCCATAAGAGAGTTAGTCTTAATTAGCTCAACTTTTGTAAGACATGAACTGTCTGTATTTTATTTTTGAATTTGGCACAGGCAATGTAAAAGTGGCGCATTTTCGAACTCCATAAATTTGTTGCACAAGTTGCTTCCAGAACCAAAAGTGTCACAGATGCTTCATGAATTTGTTGCAACACATTAACAAGAAGAATTATCACCAGAAAAGTGATTGTGTTTTCATTGAGACAATATTGTACTTGGATAGGATAATGATATTACGATGCTTCATGGTCTGTGCTCTCCGAGTGCATGAGATGTTTAATAACACCTTCTAAAATGGGCAGCACAGTGGCTAAGTGGTTAGCACTTCTGCATGGCAGTACTAGGGTCGCTGGTTCAAATCCCAACCACAGCACCACCTGCCTGGAGTTTGCCTGTTCTCCCTGTGCCTGCATGGGTTTCCTCCGGGTACTCCCAGTTTTCTCCCACACTCCAAAGACATGCTGCTAGGTTAATTGGATCCTGTCTAAATTGGCCCTAGTATGTGTATGTATGAATGTGAGTTAGGGACCTTAGATTGTACACCCCTTGAGGGTTAGGGACTGATGTGAATGTACAATATATATATGTAAAGCGCTGCGTAAATTGACGGTGCTATATAAGTACTTGAAATAAATAAAATAAAAACATCATCAGAAAAGTGGCACTGCAGCTTTATTGCATTGGACTTACCCCTTTGGGTGGCTGCATACTGCCCTGTAATCGTGCCCTGATCACACAGTTATACCCAGATTGTTTCCCTGGGGACCTACGCTTGCCTAACTCTGTTTGCTGAACCCCTTAATACAGAAACCCTTGTGCCAAGGATCCCTAAATTATACTGTCTCTCTCCACATTTTCAGTTCCACCCACACCTCTGTTACACTCTCAATGCCAGAAAATGCAACCCTCAGTAGTATACAGCAGCAAATATACATGAGTTTATTTTATTTAGAGGAGGTAGCTATAAAAAAAACACTTAAAGCTGAAAAACCTCTCTAAACCTTTAGTAACCTAATATACCTGCAATGGAGTATGTCCAACACATCCAGGCAGATTGATCCTGTATAAATCTTCCCTGCAGAGGTGTCCAGTCCTCTTCCTGCTGCTGTGGGGGTTAATAGTTTCGAGTAAAGTTATTAGTCTTCTGTAAAGGTCCAGCAAAGAAACTCTTGAGGAGGACCCACCCCTCCTCCTTCATTGGGAAAAGTCGTTTCACAGTGCACAATGCACATATTGTAATCCTTAATTGGGGAAAGGGAATCTAGTGATTCATCAAATTATCCCTCATTCAGAAATTGTGTTGCATTCAATGTACAACTTTTCTGAAGGAGGGATAAGGGGGTGGGTCTCTGATTGGAGTTTGTTCACTAAAGCTTCACAAAGGACTATCGAACCATCGCTATCCATTGCAGCACCTGAAGTTCTCTAGTAGGAGGAGGACAGGAATCCCTGCCCACAACATTTACACAGGATTCATCCGTCTGCATGAAATGGGACATACTTCATTACAGGTAAGTAAGTTTACAGATGCTGTAGAGTTTTTTTCTCTTTTGGCTTTAATTTAAGCATATAGATTTGGCAGTATCTAGTTAAATAAATGCATTTTTCTCTGACAGAGTAATCCCTCCTGGAATTTTCACTTCGTCTGGAATCATCCATCACAATTCAGAAACATTATGCCTAGATTCAGAAAGTGCTTACCCGATGGAATACACTGGCTGCACTAGGTAAGAAGATAAAATTGAGAAGGTGTAAAGTGTCCATGTAAAGAGACATTACTTTGCTTAGTTTGTATCGATGGCTTAATTATGAGATTTTCGAAGAAAGCTGACCAGTAAGTACACAATACATCTGTTATGCTTTCAGAATGGTTAGTTACAAAAAGCATTTCAAAGAATAGGAAATCAGCAGAGTGATCAGACAGGGAGTAAGGCTGGCCATAGATGAGTCAGTGTTTTTCATTCAACCAGTGGGTTGTACAAAAAAAAAAAACCTGACCCTTTTCCTTCATTAACACTTTCAAGATGGGTGGGGGAATCCTCCCTGCTTTGTCTTTGTATTCTGTCAGTGGGGAGACTTTCCCGCCATCAGAATACACAGATCAGAGCTGCAGGCTATAGCCTGTAGCGCTGATAAAGCAGCTTTTTTTTTCAGCAGAGCTGTTGATCAGTAGATCGATTTCCGCTCAACCACAGTGGCTATATAGGGATCAAAATTCATCTGGTCCCTGCTCAACAGGCTGAATTTTGATCCATGTTTTACCAAACTTGCAGTTTACTGCAAAAGATTTAAAACATGGGTTTTTGTAGGGTACCAATAACCATATGTACAGTGTATCATAAAATCTGCATTTTCTTTATATACAGAAGAGAGACAGCAGAGCCACTCTAAGTGTAGACGGTTAAAATCAGGCAGATTTAATGGTAAATTTGCACTCACAGGTAGGCATGTCAAGTAATGGAGGTAGAGTGGGAGCATCAGGTCCTTTGTCCACGCTCTGGGTGTTTTCCCACTGCTCCAGTGGTATCCAGGGCTTGGGGAGTAGCAGAGGGACACAGGGAGGCTCACAGGGATGATGTCACTGCATGGACTGGGTTTCCAAGATGGCACGCATTCAGAGCATGCTCACTCCTTCGTCAGGCCGATCCAGCAGCCATTTTAGTGTGGGCTTATATGGGCAAAGATTTAGAAATAGAGATGTAGCACTTTAATGTTTTAGGCGGGGTAGCCTATTTATTAAGCTCAAAGCTCGCACCTATTTAAAGGTGTGGGTATAAACCAAAAAATATATAACAAAAAAGAAGTAGTAGTTGCCCTGAGCCAACCACCAAAGTAGGTAATAAACACCCAAGCAATGTAGCTTATATGTAAAATCACATATTTTTATTATTCCTTTTGGGAGAAAAGGTAATATCTATGGATGGTGACATATACAATCACTGAATACACATTAAAAACAATGAAAGACAAGCAATCTGGATTGCAACATTGAACATTCCTAGTGGTATTCACTTTGACTGGTTGAGATAAACAGCAGTATATTAGCAAGGATAGCCAAAATTCAGCCATTTATCACAAGGCTTTGTGTTATACACATATATATCCTGTATATACAATGATAGAGGTAAGACAAAAAATTAGCCAAGTATATAGCTAGATATGCATAATCATTATCTTTGAATGCATGAGAACTGCAAAAAAATGCAAGTTGAAAAAAGAAATGAGTATGTCCATATGTAGATTGCAGGAAGGAGTTCCCATGGAATTATATAGTGCTGAAAGATTCATACTGCCCCATGTTCCTTCATAGCTTGAATAGTGTGTGGTTTAAACCTCCATATATCATGGAAATATGTAGATATCTTTATCCCTTCTAGGTATTCCTCCAGATAAACATCATGGCAAATGTATTGTGAAGCTGAGAATAATATTGCAAAACTTCAGATGAGGTGTGCAGTAACATTTAACGATGTTTTAACAAGCACCCCACTCACCACCATTATACTGGATAATGACCTAGCCGTTTCCCAGAAAATAAATACTCAGCCCGTTGAGACTTGATTGTCATGTTGTAGATATAGAGTGGATTATTCACACAGTTCCCATTAGGGTAATGATCAAACCTCATATCATGAGTATTCGTTATGTAGAGTTCCCGCCTGATCATGAGGCATATCGCATGGCGCAATAACATGGCCGCTCTCACCAGTCCATGGTGTTGTACACGTGGGAGGTTGCTTCCGGGTGTGATGACGTCAGTACGTTACATTTATTATACAGGATTTATATAGCGCCAGCAGTTTGGTCATCGTGTTTCGTCCGCCAATCAGTGCAGACTTCTTCAGAATAGGGAGGAAACAGTGAAGGCTGCTTAAATACCCTGTATCTTAATTGGGAATAATGCACAGCTCCCCCTAGTGACCAAAAGTCATCATGACTCATTCAAAAAGATTAAAAATGTCATTATATCAGTAAGAATAAAATTATCTACCCTAATGGAAGAATTATGTTAACATGGCAAATATTCAGAATTACTCAATTTCAATCCAAGAATACCTTGAAATTAAGTTCAGTATTTAAACCTTTTGGAACCAAAGTTTCAAGAGTGTATATCCAGAATGTTTCTTTCTGTAATAATAATTTGTCAATATCACCTATTCTTGGGGAGATGTTCAGGGAAAAGATACTTTTTACCTCAAAGCCATCAATTCGTCCTTTATAGACTTCTTTGAAATGTTGAGCTCATGGATTTTCTCTACCACTTTCTTTAGGTTTATGTTTA